GTCCATACCACATATATGATTGTTAACTCACTATACCAGGAATAAAATTTAGACTGACCTCAAAGTTACTTCTGCCTTAGGTGTTCAAATGCTCCAGTTTTGAATGGCTTTTTATTCATTAATGCAGTTCTATTGTTTTTATCACACATGTTCACCAAATATTATTCCAAGGGCAAGAATTTAAAAAGCAGTTCGCACAATATAAAAAAGGCAACAACTGCTACTATACCTTTACTACCAATAGTAATAATAATAACAAAAATAAATGCAATATGTTTAAATAATACAATGATAAATTATGACACAACCATTAAAAACAGCGGCAGAACATAAGAAATAAAAGCTCCACAGAGCACAAGTGTGTTAATCCTCCAGTCCTTCGAAGGATTAAAAGGCCTGGGAACACTTATTTTTAAATCTGTCTGATACTGGAATTACATCAAAGGGAGCAGTAGGCAAGCTTTCTTAAGGAAAATGCTGCACACAAAGGGGGGCTTCCATTCAAAAAGACCTTTAAATGGCTGCTGCCCATCTCACTTTTAAGACTGGACCCAAGAGCCTCAAATTATGATTTCAGTGTCTGGGTGACTGGTGCAAGAGGAAAAAGATGTAGTGGAACCGGAGTTGATCTTTGTAAGTTCAGCAAGTGACAACAATGGAAACTTTTGAGACTCTGACTTGGAAGCTTGAAAGTCAGCACAAGGCTGAAGGGAAAACTAAAGCTTGCAGCTTAAAAATTATTACTTTTTTGGACTAGAACTGGCAGGAGTTGTAGTTTTGAAAGGTAACTTTTCCTAACTCTTCATAGACATTGGACCAAATTCTCTTATCTAGTTATTATTAGTTATGCCGGCATAGCATAAATAGCATAACGTTTGGAGGCAAATTGCTCCAGCTTGTCTGGCTCAGCATGCAACTGGTAATGTTTACGATAATGTCTTAACTTAGAGTAATTTGCCTCCAGACATTATGCCATTTGTGTAGTTACATACATATTTGTCCTATATACCAAAATAAACTAACTTATTGTTTCCTGGCATTTCTGCCACTTTGGTATTTGTTTTCATGTGATTAGAAGATAAAGACAATTCCACTTACCGTAAACTGAAGAGGACATTGCCATCTGGATAGACACGTAACATAACATTCTCCATAGTTGTGTCATGGATAAAAGATCTTTTAGAGTGAACAAAAAATATGTCAGGTACCCAGATCTTTTTAATTAGTCTTCCATCAAAGGTCATGCTTCTGTTTCTGGTACTAGGGAATGAGAGTCTCTCATCTTTCCAATAATGTCTAAGATACAAAGTCATTGTGAAGTCCTTTAAAGAGAGAGAGAGAGAGATTCAGAGGAAGATTTTGTAAAAAGCAATAAATCAAAACAAATTAATTCATCAGCTTAATACCACTATCTTCAGAAATAGCCATTGCAAAAGATTTTTACCCTGAAGAAAAATCATGTAAAACAACTATGTACCTTGCTGGTGCATATATTAATTTATTTTATTTATTTTATTGGATTTCTACCCCACCCATCTAGACCAAAGGTCTACTCTGGGCGGAATAACAAATTTAAAAACAGTTAAACCAATAAACATGCACTATAAATCCACAATGGTAAGGAGTGAATTTAAGATACAGCAAGAGGAAAAGTCTGCCAAAATAGCCAGGTCTTGAGTTTGCTTCTGAAGACACCCAGAGAGGGAGCCAGGCGGATCTCCAGGGCAAGTTGTTCCAGAGGCAAGGGGCCACTGCCGAGAAGGCCTGGTTCCTTGTTCTTTCCTTCTGGACCTCCCTCAGCGTTAGGCCCCTCAGCTGCCCGGCCTGGTTGGAACGAGTGACTCTGGCTGAACTGGGTGGGAGAAGGTGCTCTGCCAGATATACACACATAAATGCATTTTGTCACAGATAGGTGATATGATTATCATATGCCTCTTGTTCTTTGCCATCCATTTTTACTTATGATATAGAATTTCACAGGAATCCCATAAGAGTGCCAAAGTATCTTTGGGGGGGGCATGTAAGGAGAAATGAGGGCAAATTGCAGAAAAACAAGGCGTACTCTTCTTCAGAGATATACACTGAATGTTTTAGAAAGTACTCTAGCTTAAATCTATTTTTGTCATATTTGACCCTTCATCACAATAGATACAGTTACAATATAGATACAGATCAATACAGATAGAGATGAAAGCAAGAATCTGTTAAGTGGCTTCAATGTTTTGCTTCCACTTATCCTCATTATAAATCCTGTCTAATCTTCCAACCCTCCTAACTGTTGTTTTGATTCTGCTCCAGGCTACAGTACAGGAAAGAATGAAATTCATAGCAGAAATGGGATATTTTACTTTTTCAATTGCACAATACAGAATCCCTCAGCCATAATAATTACTGGGCCATGTTGACTAGGAAATTCTGGGAGATAAAATGACCTGACAAAACTCTTTTGTTGTTGTTTAGTCGTTTAGTCATGTCCGACTCTCCATGACCCCATAGACCAGAGCACGCCAGGCCCTCCTGTCTGCCACTGCCTCCCTGAGTTGGGTCAAATTCATGTTGGTAGCTTTGGTGATACTGTCCAACCATCTCGTCCTCTGTCATCCCCTTCTCCTCTTGCCTTCACATTTTCCTAACTTCAGGGTCAGGCAAAACTCTACTTCCTAATAAATATAACTATATCAATCTTCAACACACATTTACTGAGATACAAAACATAATAGTTTTATTATTACTAAGAATATTAAAACTGCAGAGCTGGAAGGGACTTTGAGTCCAACCAATTGTCAAGGAGGCACATTGAGCAATCGAACTCACAACCCCGCCAAAACTACAGAGCTATCCAGCAGTTCAAAGCATTTCTAAGAGCCATAGCATATTCCTAATACAGATACATATAGAATTAGTTATTCTGATAAAATTATCAATTTCTTCCAAAACTAATTTGGAATTAATTCTTCCCAAACTCCTGCTATTTATATACCTTATCATTAGCTGATGTAAATCTGATATTTCTGGAAAGGGGTTTCAAACAATGATAAGGCATAATTTTTGGAATAAAGTTTCCATCTGTGATGGCTTGTCGCAGTCTGAAATCTCTTTCCAGAAATATCAGATACACAGCCATCATAAGTTGAAGAAGATAATGATACAATAATGATAATAATCTTAAAGCTGCAGAGTTAGAAGGGACCCTATGGATCATTGACTCCAGTCCCTGTCGAGGAGGCTCAGTGAGGAATTGAACTCTCAACCTCTAAACCATTACAGTGGGGTCTTGACTTAAGAACGGTTTGAGTTAAGAACATTTTGACTTAAGAACCACTCTCATAGGAAAATATTGACTTGACTTACATACTTAGATTTGAGTTAAGAACTGAAAAAAAACCACGTGGGAGGCAGGGAAAGTGCAAAATTAAAACTTTCAGTTAACTGTTGGCCAGTGAAAAGGGTGCCTGTCTGCTTCCTCACGCCTCCCAGCGTTTAGAGAGTGGATTGGGAGACAGTCTTCGGACTGCCTGGTACTGTACTGCCTGGACTGTATTTTCCCTGCCTTCCCTGAACCTTTCTTGACCTAAGAAAAAAAAGAAATAAAATATCCACTTCTAGTGGTCAAAGGCGGAATAGCAGCTTCCCATTAGTTTCTATGGACGGAAAAGAGCAGATACCAATAATGATAATAATCTTAAAGCTGCAGAGTTAGAAGGGACCCTATGGATCATTGGCTCCAGTCCCTGTCAAGGAGGCACAGTGAGGAATTGAACTCTCAACCTCTAAACCACAAATTTATCCAGAAGTTCAAAGACACTTCTAATGATCCAACCTTCTCTCTCTCTTGTTTCTACAATGCTTCATTTTATCATTTAGTTAAATTCCCACCTAAGTCCCCCAAAGTCTTTGGAAGGCAGAAAGAAACTAGAATTTTCTAGAAACTTACTAAAATACATAATATTAGAGATTGGGATAAGTCCTTTTTAGGAGTATAGCTCCCATAACGAGATTATTATTATTAGAGATTATTATTATTAGAGATTGGGATGAGTCCTTTTTAGGAGTATAGCTCCCATAACCGCCAGACAGCAAGGGAATTGCAAGCTTTACATTATATTGCTATATTGACTTTGTTGTAACAAGAACAAGAGTCCACAGCACTTTAAATGCAAAAATGTCATTAAAAGACTACCCTTCTCTGCATGGGTCCCTTTCCTGTAAACACACACACACCGCTTTATTCCTATGGTTCCACCACCTTCTGTGTTGCCTGTGCAGACTGGCCATTTTGGGTGTGGAGTGGACTGGGCTACAAAGGGTGTGCTGAGGTAGGGAAAGGAGTGATATGCCACTTGGAATGCTCTTCCCATCCCAACAGCAAACAACGCTTTGTAGCCTGATCAGCTGTCAATTAAGCACTTTGCCTGATTGTCTGGAAAAGTACTTTTTAGTTGCTCCTCTCTCCCCCTGTCCTTGCCATTCTGTTTTCTCCCTCCCCTCCTCACCCCTGCTTCTTTTCTCTTCTTCTCCCCCAACTCTCGTTTGGAATCTGCAGTCACCATACTGAGGCTGCTGGAGAGTGCTTTCTCCCAGCTAAACAGAACATGCAAAAAAACAACCCACTGTGCCCTACTATTGTGTCAGAAAGGTGTGCAACAGCTCTTAAAGAGAAGGATTAGTCAATCTAAAGATAAACACAAGTGGGCACGAGCTTTTTTTAAAAGCCTAATTGTGCACTCAACAATCCATAGAGAGTGTGAACAGGCTCTATGAAAAGTTTGCAGAGCAGCTCTACAAAAGTTGTTTAAACTATCTGCAAGTAACTAAGGCTTTCCCACAATGGCAAATTTACTCTTAAATTGGGAGATCATGAGGGTTTTATTTGTAAATCTATAAGATCATATTAAAGTGTGGATAGCTTCCTCCATTGATTAATCATCTTAAACGGCTAATTTCCCAAACAAATAATTGGACAAAATGGTTACTGCATGTTTTGCTTCATATTTCCAGTCTGTAAGGACTAGAGACAGTATATATTTTTAAAATGCAAATTGGAATTTGGACCAGCAGGGCAGCAAGCCTGGAATCCAAGTAAAACCTGAAAGCCCTGTTAGGGCTGCTATAAATTGTTTCTGACTTGATGGCACATAACAACAACAATGTTGGTGACAGCGTTAAACCACTGCTTGAACATCTTACTTGCCTCTAAAACCTTACTGGAGTCACTAGACGTTCAAAATGAATTGCTGATATATAACAATATTACTGTGACCTGATCCTAAATACTGTAGAAAGGTCACAGTGAACTGAAATAAGCAAAATTGGGCTAATGTGTGGATCCATCAGAAGCACACCATTCTTTGAAGTTTTATACTCTTCTAGACACCAGTATTTGAAGTACAGACAATGCTGTGTGCCTCCGTTCCCAACATCTAATTGCTACTTAATTAAATCACAGTTCTGGTTCAAAAACTTACCATGTCAACTTCTGAAATGCTGTCAATGCTCTCTACTTGTACATCAATACCCACTGGTATGGGTGAGCCTTTAAAATAACAGAGATTATGTGGCTATCAGACAGGATAACTATAACCTTTAGAAATGTAAGATGAATTGATCACCTGCTACAGAACTGGCATGCGGAATTCAGTCAAAATCAAAGTACATGTTAACATGCATACAGAAGTGAGAGTGTGTACACCTTTTTAAATAGGGAAAGTTACTGTGGAAGACAGCAGTTGAACTGTCTGAGAACAGTTTAAGGGTTAAGCTAGTACCACATTCTGTTCTAAACATTATAACTTTAAAGACTGCTGGCATGTTTCTGCAACATCATTTTAAATAGTGATTTGTAAATAACATTTCTTACACAGTTAACAAACATGAAACTTGTTTCCTTATTTTCTGTATTTGAAACCACTTAAGAGACTTCAGTTTGTTTTTCCTACATGGTGTGAAGGAAAGATTGTAGCTGCATATGGGTGCTACATAATTAAAAACTGTGCCACATTTATTTATTTATTTATTTAATTTATATGCCGCCCACACTACCCAAAGGTCTCTGGGCGGTATTTATTTATTTATTTACAGATGGTAACATTTTTGATTCTCTGCCGTTTGAGGACTGTTCAAAGTCAGAAAGCAAAACCAAAAAAAAGAGAAAGAAAAAAAGCAAAGTGTGCTGCTTATATACCACCCCATAACACGCAAAGCATTCTCTGGGCAGTCTACAAGTTAATTATGCAGGCTACATATTGCCCCGCTATCAACCTGGGTACTCATTTTACCAACCTCAGAAGGATAGAAGGTTGAGTCAACCTTGAGCCAGCTACCTGGGACTGAACCCCGGGTCATGAGCACAGTCTTGGCTGCAGTACAGCAGTTTAACCACTGCACCACAAGGCTCCTTAATCAATCAGTTAATAACCCACCACCTCATGGGTACCTGGGTGTAATTAACAGACACACAGAGAAAATGCAATTGATGTTCACATCCCGGTGGTTTTCTACTAAATTTATCAGATAGGGTTTTGGTAGAAATGTGTCTCTTTTCTCTTTCCCTTGTTTCTCTTATACCAGAGACTGGAGTCTATTATAACAGTTCTAAACAATATATTTGTGCTACATCATAAACCCATCTGTCAGGTTCTTCAGACAACACAGTCCTCTCCTCCTTTTTCTTTACCTTGAATGCCCAGTAGCAACAATTCATACCTCTGATTTCTCTTTATGCAATCCAAGTATTCTAGCTTTTTGTTTTTTTACAAGTTCCATTTCTATAATTTCTTGGTCTCTGTACAGTTTCCTTAGTACTTCTCATGTATCACCCGCTTGAACCAAGAAATGTTTAGCATTGTACAATAAATTCACATTTCAAATATTTCTTTATTGCTATAATAACCTGTGTTAAAGTCCCCAATTCAATGCTATAGATAGATCAGTGGTCCCCAACCTTGGACCTCCAGATGTTCTTGGATTACACCTCCCAGAATCCTTCACCACCACCTCTGCTGGCTAGGATTTCTGGGAGTTGAAGTCCAAGAACATCTGGAGGCCCAAGGTTGGGGACCACTGCTATAGATCATTGATACATAGTGCTATGTAAGGAGTGTTTTTCAAGTCAATGTTAAGATTTTGTTGTATATTATGTTCTTCATTACAAGGAACCTGTCCCTAACCATCTGTGTGCTGTTTTTTATTATGTGGCTATGAACACTATCCAGTCAACTAAATATAAGTAGTTATATTGCTCAACATGCTCTGCACTTTAATTGCGATTTCTTAACTTTCTTTTCTGTCTGTCTGTCTATCTTTCTTTTGTGGGGAGTTGCTTGCCTTTCAGTGTTTGCTGTGAACTTGGTTATCTTGCCATTTTACACTGTATTCATTAATTACTTTAGTGACTCTACTGAGTACCCCTTGCAGACCGTCTAAATTGCCATCTAGTAATGCCAGTTGAGCTGACTGGATATCTCATTGAGTTAGGTACCTGGATGCAGAGCCAGAGGTTAAGAGTTCAGTTCCCCACTGTGCATCCCTGAAGAGCCAGTCTGTGTGGCCTTGGGCAAGCTGTACAGTCCTAGGGCACACTTCCCCGCTCCCAGAAGGAGGGAATGGTAAACCACTTCTGAATACTCTCTACCTAGAAAACCATACAAAGGGCCACTATAAGTCAGAACTAGCTTGATGGCACAGTCCCTGCCCATCTCTAATCAGGAGCAATGCACCCCAAGCTGGTGTGGCAATGGTCTGAACTATTCTTAGGTTTCTGCAGATTTTAGTATGTATTTGTATGTTTCTTGATCAAGGGGCAGTCTATGGAAAATAAATTGCTCTGACCTGGATGTGGGTGCCTCATGGCCTCATTATCTTTGGGAATGTTTGTAAGCAGTTTCTTTCTTTCTTTCTTTCTTTCTTTCTTTCTTTCTTTCTTTCTTTCTTTCTTTCTTTCTTTCTTTCTTTCTTTCTTTCTTTCTTTCTTTCTTTCTTTCTTTCTTTCTTTCTTTCTTTCTTTCCACCCTTTACCTGGAGTTCAGGGAAAGCATGAATTTGGAGTGTAGGATATGTCCCCTTAGCATTCTCAGTCAGTAGCCTGGCTTTCTCAATTGTGCGATCTCACTGTGTACCCAGAATCAGAGTGCTGCACATTTGCTACCCACCCATTCTACAACATAACAGAGGCACCTGCAGCAAGAAAAATATGGTTCTACAAAGAAAGACCAACAACAGACATAAAAAAAATTAAAGGAAAGTAGAAAACAGCATTTGGGTTGGGACTACCTGGTGTTACTTTGACCTATGAAATCAATACCCACACAAGAGAGAGAGAGTTGTCCATCCCACATTCATACACACACTCAGTTCTAAGCGCAGTTACCTAAACAAAAAAGCAAATAAATTCTAGGGCATGGTCAGTATAATAAACAATATATCATCCTTTGCTTGAAACAAAATGTCACACCTGGAAGTAAAATAGTTGCTCAGAGGGTTGGATGTGGAACAAATAAGAATTGTGTGAAGTCAAGCTGAGCTTTTACCCACCCAAAATAACAACAGTAACAAAAACAGTACAGTTAAACAAATTTACCGGTAACTACTGTTACCTCCAAACCCCGAGGGACATGGTGCTGCTGCGGGTTAAACCACAGAAGCCGCTGTGCTGCAAGGTCAGAAGATCAGCAGTCGTAAGAGTGAATCCACGTGACGGAGTGAGCTCCCGTGGCTTGTCCCAGCTCCTGCCAACCTAGCAGTTTGAAAGCTTGTAAATGCAAGTAGATAAATAGGTACCACCTTGGTGGAAAGGTAACGGCATTCCGTGTCCAGTTGCGCTGGCCACGTGACCACAGAAGAATGTCTTCGGCCAAACGCTAGCTCTACAGCTTGGAAACGGGAATGAGCACCTAGAGTTGGACACAACTGGACTAATTGTCAAGGGGAACCTTAACCTTTACCTACCTCCAAACCCAGGTCTCATTGCAAAATCATGGTCCTCTATGCGAAGAAGTTGTTCAGATTTCATGGGCCGAATTTTGGTACTGTCTAGTTTTCTCATCTTAATTTCTCGTTTGCTGCATTAAAAAAAATTAAGATAAAGTGTGTACCTTATATGATTTTATTTTATTAAGACAATTAAAACCATGATTAAGAGTTTTAACAGAGTATATGTAAAAGAAGAACAATTAAATTGGAGTGCATGTTCCTAATCAGAGAAAAAAAAACAAGTAGTAAAATAACAGAGAAACAGGTTATTCTTCTCTTTGCTTCCCTTCAGACCACTGGCCAGGTTTGTACAACACCCTTGCAGAGTTGCATTTTTTGCCAAGATATGTATGTGTATGCCACAGACTGTTTTAACTAGAAAACCTGTCAGGCCACAGACAAGTACAGTATACGTTTAAAACAGTGGCTGTGATGAAAGACCCCCCCCAGAGGAAAAGACTGGAATATAGCTCTAAAAGACATCATAGGGTCATCATAGGGTCATCATAAATTGAAGGTGACTCGACGATACATAACAACAACATCAAGACTGCAAAGAAGACATGATTACCCCAGCCAAAGAGTCATATCCAAGGATATCCCATCTGTAAAGAGGTCATACAGACTGGATCATATTCTTTTCCTTTTCCTTTTTTTGTACTGCAAGGACTATCTGGAAGGCTGGGAAGCAAACAGCCTAGAATGCTTTATATTTTCATAAGCAGTCTCTGTCCATCTTCTTCTTGTTGTAAAATGTCCTGGATCATCAGATAGGATTAGCCAGTGAGCAGGACTAAGATCAGCATGTTAAGTGGACACATGGCCAACACCGGGCCGGATCACTGGTCAGCCTGGCCAGAAACCATATAAAAGACATACTGCCAACTCAACAAGTCAGCTTGCCAAGCCATGTTCTTCTACAGGAGAATATAACTGACAGATCAGTTTGCTCCTCTATCAGCACAACACTCTGCTTTTCTGTTTTACTTTTCCAACTCATCTTGCCTTACATCCTCTGTGTCCCTGTACAAACTCAATCGTTGCTGAGTCCTCTTAGGCCTTACAAAGCTGGATAGTTTGGTGTCATCACTTTTGAGTTTTTAAAAGCAATTTTTACTTTCTGCTCACCTGTGAAATTTCTGTTTCACTGGAGGCTGCTGGTATGTTATTTTACTTATAATTTCACTTCCCCTGGCCCTCTGCCAAGAAGCAGAATAAGTGTTCCATTTGCCCCTGTTCTGAAATACCTCACTTATTCACTTCACAGTATTGGAAGCTGACAGTGAAAGGAATTGGACTAAATAGGGTCACTTGAAGTCTTTATACTATAGACCATAGCAGCCCATTCCAAACAGTTCAACATAAATGAGTCCTTAGTTGTTCAGGAGGTGTTCTCAGATGAAGCTTCTTTCTCTAGCTTTCTCTCTGCCTGAATGGCTCTACTTGTCTCTGCCAGGCCTCTTTGTGCTAACTTCATTTCTTAGCTGAAATCACTATCATAACCCTCAGAAATCCAGGATTTAACCAGAGAATCCTGCTACTCTATATTGCTTTCCTGATTTCCTAGTTTCTGGCCTAGAACCTCTGTTAGTCTGTTCTCTCTTCTGATTCTTGCCCTAGAATTACCTCCCATTGTTCCAGCTGGAGTTCCTCAGCTTCAAGTCAGTCAAAGGAGACTAAGGAGAGGCAATACTTGTCTCTCAATCTACCCCCTAATTTCTTCTCTCTCTCACTTTCTCAAGAAAGAACCTTCTTTTATTTCCTCTTCTAATCCTTGTTGCACCTCTAAAAATAGTCTGTTCAGGTACTGCAGACCTTTGCCGAACAGCCTGAATCAGCCATATAGGTTTGCTTCTTTTGAGTCTTCATTTCCTCATATTAATTAGATATTTTATTGTGAATGTTTGCTATATTTTAATTCAATAAAATTCCTCTTGTAAATAGCTTTGTGTAAGTGCGATATACAGAGTCCCATCCGTCTCAGGATACACTATTGTCATGGTTCAAAGATTCCTTACAGGTGTGTGTCCAAATGTGTGAGCATCCAAAAGTGTGGGCACATACATGTGCTCTGAGAGCACACCTGGTAACACCATTGCCTTCATCATCTAGCGGGCAATTGAACTGGCAATGGAGGAGGGAGAGGCTCATGCACTTCCTGTCATTATGCATAATGGATTATGATTGTGGCAGTAACAATGATGGTGAAAAATATATAGTCAAGCCTTGTTCTTGTATTAATGTGTCCTGTGGCATTCAGCTCTGCTCTCACCTGTCCATCACAGCTGGGCAGGGGAACCTCAGCCAATGAGAGGATGGAGGGTGTGTCCAAATGTGTGAGCATCCAAACGTGTGGGCACATACATGTGCTCTGAGAGCATACCTGGTAACACCATTGCCTTCAACATCTAGCGGGCAATTGAACTGGCAATGCAGGAGGGAGAGGCTCATGCGCTTCCTGTCATTATGCATAACGGATTATGATTATGGCACTAACAATGATGGTGAAAAATATATAGTCAAGCCTCGTTCTTATATTAATGTGTCCCATATTTCAAATGAATATAAAAATATATACAGGCCAATGAACATGGGATTCTCAGCAGAAATTTCTCTGAGGGATTTTTTGGGGAGGAGGGGGAGACCAGGATCTCTGGGATGGAAATCCCATATTTCAAATGAATATAATAATACATACAGGCCAATGAACATGGGATTCTCAGCAGAAATTTCTCTGAGGGATTTTTTGGGGAGGAGGGGGAGACCAGGATCTCTGGGATGGAAATCAGAAGCAATGGCCATATGTACCTGGGCCAGCTGATTGCCAAAGAATAACCTAACTGTGCATAACAGCAAGATGGAAATAGAATTACTGGAAATTAAAATCAGACACACAGACAAAACAAATGAAAATGATCACCAATTAATTGCCACAGGACCGGCAATGTTTTTAATCAGACCTCCTCTGAGCACTCTCGGAGCAATTCATACAGGAAAGTGCTATCCTGGAGAGCAATGGAAACCAATGAAGCCTTTCCCAAGTGGCTGCAGCACGGTCAGGCCAAGAGAGAGAGAGAGAGAGAGAGAGAGAGAGAGAGAGAGAGAGAGAGAGAGAGAGAGAGAGAGAGAGAGAGAG